AAAAGATGAACAACTTCGGCGTCTACGAGCTCGCAAGCGCAAAGAAGACCTCCGCCCCGGGATGGGCCTACGTCCCCGACACGGGCGTCAACCCCGCCGCCGCCGCCCTCCAGCCCGCGAACCGCAAACGCGCCGCGCGCACCAAGGCAAACCCCTCCGCCTCCGACCTCAACGTCCGCCAGGAGGCCAAGATCCGCAAGGAGCTCGAGGCCTTGGACAAGGACTGGGGCAGGGACGCGACGATTCCCATCCCCGCGAAAGGGGGTAGCAGAGGTGAGCTTCTTCCTTTCCAAGTAAATAGACACCGCCGGCTTACCACAAACGACCAAAAGCAGCCCAAACGAAAAGCACACCAAACGTCCGCAAGATCCTCCAATCCCAAAAGACATTCTCCAACCACCTCGACGACCACCTCGCCCACATGTCCCACGCAGAAAACACCCCCGCGCCGCACCCGAACCAGCACACCGCGAAGCCCGCGAACAAGCCACCCCACCCCAACCAACACACAAAGCGCAACGCCGCCAAGCGCTCAAAGACATCCACTCCAAAACCCGCGCCCGCACCCGAGCCGGAAGACGTTGAAATGGCACCCGCGCCGCCCGCTCTCGGGGAATCTTCTGGCGGCCCCGTCCTCGCACCCTACGACAAGCCGCTCCCGGCGGCGCACCCGGGCGACGACGACCCGCTGCTCGTCTCGCGCGTGCCCGAGCCCCCGACGGACGAGGAGCTGCGCTGGCTCCTTGCGCAGCCGATGCTGAGCTTCTGGGACGCGCGGGCGGAGTGGGCCGACGAGGACACGCGGTACCCCGAACGAACGTTCTGCGAGCTCTGCGGGTACTGGGGCCGGGTGAAGTGTATGAAGTGCGGGACGCGGGTGTGCGCGCTGGACTGTTTGGAAACGCATCGTGAGGAGTGCGCTACGAGGTATGGATATTAAGGGATACAGGGGTTGTGTTATAAGAACTTGGACTTTTTATGTTGTCACACAAGGAGGCTATGGGAGCTTCGATATGGCGTTTATGATACCCTCACATCAAGTTGTTTTGGAAATGGAACGAATTGTTTTGACTTGAGCCCGTGGATTGATTCATAAGTTCCTAACGGAATGCTTTTGTACATGTAAAGACGACCTTCTGGCCACCGTGATATATACAGCCGAAGCTTAACCAAGCCGACCACGGCTCGAATCCTCCAACAGGTGTTCAGATCTTCTACCGTCCGAAGAGCCGAGCCACGGCACAGCCAGAGCAAGAGTTCCTAACCAAAGAAAACCCCTCCTCGAGAATATAAAAATGTGTCGAACAGAGAAAAATGAAAGAGATACACACGCCTTGCTGAACGTCCCCTCAACCGCCGCCAGAACATTTAGGCTTGAAGCTGTATTACAGCTCGCCAGACGGAGGCATGGCCTCGAGGATGAACTCGACGTCGCCGGAGGTGGCGCCGCCGGAGCAGGTGGCGCGGACGCTGCCGGTAGGGCACTTGTCGCGGGCGGCGCGGACGCACTGCTCCCACTTGTTCTTGGAGATGTTGATGGTGGCGCCGGGGGTAGTGGGCTTGATGGTGAAGCGGGCGGAGCCGGACTGGCCGACGGTGGTGGACGGGTTGCCCTTGCAGGCGGTCGCGGAGCCAGAGATGCCGCCGCAAATGGCGAGCTCGGCTGAGTTTGCGTCGTGGGAGACGATGTGGCTGGGATGTGTTAGTGTTTGATTTTGGATGTGGGGTATTGCGGGTGTTGATGTAAGTGGTAGATGGGGTTTGGGCGTGATAATGGAGGAAGTGGTGTAAGTGAAAGACATACGCGTTGCGGTCGATGCACGTCGCCTCCAACACGGCGGCCGGGTTGACCTCCGTCTGGGCGCGCATGCCGAGGACCTCAAAGTGCTGCTGGGGCACGGTGAAGCGCGGCCAGTGACGGTGCTGAGCCGGGGCGGCGAGGGCGGCCGTGGCAGTCAGGAGGAGGACGAAGGTGTGGACGAGCATGGTGAACATTGTTGTTTGCTGTCGTTGATGTGCGGTGGACTCGAAGTGTTTCGGGTTTTGGTGTAAGTGAGGTTGAGGTTCTGAATCGTTCTCGAACAAGCCACTGATTCTCGAGTCCTTCTCTGCGAGATCGTTTCGTTTCGTTTCGGTTGCGAATTTGGAATGCCTCCTTTCTTTTTCGTCGTTCAGGTGGCTTGACTTGACTTGCGATGGTATTCCGAGAACGACTGAAAGTTGCTGGGATTCGTTTGGATGCTTGTGGAAAAAAAGAACAAGGTCGACCTCTTGGGAGGGAAAGAATGGAAAAACGGATCACAGATCGTCGGTTGGGAAAGAAAGAAAGGAAGTGACGGTCAACAGACTGTCTTGTTTGCGTGTTTGGCTGGAAAAGAATGTGGGAAAGTTCACAAAACAATTCAAAGATGGAAAGAGAGAAGAAGGAAAGGGAGCCTAGGAAAGGACGCACGATGAAGGAGGAAGGGCAAGCCACTAAGTAGTGGTTAGCTTGTAACACAATCTTCAAAATTTCTCCTTCCTTCCTTCCTTCCGTCCCTTGGCCCTTTCCTTCCCGCTCACACTAAAGTCTGGGATCTGGGGAGGGGAGGGGGGGTGGCCTTGGCTCAGCCGATGGTTATTTTCTTGCAGTTGAACCCGTTTGTCTGTTCAGGTTCCCAAATCAAATCACGCCAGACCCCGGTTCCCAGCTTTTTTGGACCGGGCTTCTCCATGTTTGCGCAATGAAAAGGGTGGCCACTGGCAATCGGACTGATGGGGCCAGGCCGATATGGGATGGAGTCCACCACCTGCCTCCCCTGTCGGGAAGGTAAGTCAGACGGATATTGTTCATCAGTCATGTTGTACCTGTTGTAACTGCACAGATGGCGCTGGCGTACCTGCGATACGCAAGCGCAAGCACAAGATCACCAATGGAGAATTCGAACCGTGCGGACGTCGAGCTTTTGACGACACGCATCTCTCCTGCGCGGCTGTGGAGAAGGGGAGCCAGGTTTGACTTGACACTTGGCGTGGACTCAGAGAGGTCGTTGCGCGATGGTGGCTTGGGGCCGGCAGCTTCGAAAGTCGCAGGTTCACGACCTGTCTTTTTTGGCAGGTTGTCCCCATTAACCTTAGTACCGTTAGGCTAGACCTCGAGTCACCACCTCATTGGGCCTGGAGCCCAAGGTCAGGGGGGCTCTTTAGTCGCTATCCCGGATCGACGGTTGGCGCTGGGCTGGTGCTCTCGGCGCATGAGGTTCGATAGGTTCGATACCGGGCGGTGCGCGTGCAGGGTTCTTCCTCTCTGGACGTCATGTCATGGGCAGGAATTCAGACGGGGGCAAGGGGACGGTGATGAGCGCAACCGACGTCGAGCACGACACTGAGAGTTGCGGAAGGTCGGGAAGCGGAAAGGGGGAAGGGAGGAACACAGGAACAAGTTTCGGTGATCACTCGCAAGGCCAGCAGGCGGCCACAGGCGTTGCTCACAGGCGGGCCAGTTGTCTTCGGCGGCGCCCATCCGGAGTCGCAAAGTGAAACATGGGCCCCCATGCCGTTCGGTTCAGACGACGAGGTGCCATTTTAAGGCTTCTGAAACTCGAGCGGTGGGGCCATCCCGGTATTCCCGCGAATCTCCACCGTCTGACAAGAACACTGCAGGCTCGCACTTGGGTCCCTCCGGCGCGGTAGCGACTACCACCTACCGCAGTCGTGCGTGTGCTCCGGGGATGCACAGAGGGGAAGAGGAATCGGGCCTCGACCTCCCTCTTTTGGGCTAACTAGTTTCGCGATCTTGAACGTTGGAGCTATCACCAACCCACAAGTGCCGCGGGGTGCGCGATGATGTGACGAAGGGGATAGCGAAACCCTTGGCTGAGGCTTAAGATAGCTTGGCTATCCCGTTCTGCTTTGCTCTGGTTATTGCCTGCCTGGGTTGGTTGGCTGATTTGTGGTGGCTGATTCGCTGTAGCTTGTCAATAGGATGCGCCGCGATATAGACAAGATCCCCGAGAATAGGCACAGAGTGCAATCCATCTGTGACAACCATGCTGAAGTCACGTCTGTCCAAGCTTGCTGATCTTTTGTTTATCAGACACCTTAGCGAACCTTGAAAAACCCCAAAGTCCCGCACGCGCCGTCCAAAGCTCCCGGCATTCTGGGTTGTATTCAATTGTCATCGAGGAGGCGGCGCAAACGTGTGTGCAAACAAAGTACTGAGCAGCCCTTACAGGAGGAGCTCTTGGCCCTGACAATCCCGAACAACTCCTCCTTTGATATTTCTTGTTTCATTCCCCTTGGCTGCGGTAGAAAACTTGAAAATGTGTCCTTTTGGCTTTTGGTGATTGTGTGTTGTGAAAAGCCCGCAAGCAAGTCATTTTTCGTAAGACCTTGCGAGAAGAACGTCAATTCGGCAACGCAGCGCCGGTCGGTATTTCGCAACAGCCCACTTCAAAAGGCCCTGCTCCATCGATCGGCTCTGGTCTGGTGGTTCCTTTTTCCTTCTCCATGTTTCGCACAGATTAAGCCGCTGGACGCCCCTCTTGTGAACCCGCCCAGGGTGTCGGTTAGGCGAACCGCTCTTCAGCGCACCGCGGACGCTGCGGACGGTCCGGGTTCCACTGAGTCCAGCCCAGCCGAACTTTACTTGAAGACTTGACAAGTGAGCCTAAAATACTGTCTTGGGCTGAAGCTTTTCCTCGTAAATTGAGTACGAACTTTTGGGACGGAGGAGGTCATCGTTTCCCAGAATAACAGGTAGATAATCTATCGCGAAAGTGAAGGCCCCGCTGCCCTGCCAAGAAAATGAGCCTTATGGCCCGTCCCCTTAGTCAGTGCTGCAGGGGGCGGATAGTAATTGATATTAACATGCGTTCATAGCCTCATAGCTCATGACTTTTTCCTTTCTTCCATCCTGGCAATTAGTTTTCCTGCAAGTTGTTCATCAGCAACGTGATTCTCTGTTGGCAAAGCACCCAATTTGTCATGAATCTTCGGAAGTGACCAGTTGCTGGCTTGAATCAATTTTGCTTCTTTCTTTGGCCGCATAATCCGCAGACCCCGAAGTCGCCGGGGTTGACATGTTTAGTGCTATGGCACACCTCACGGTCGCACCGCCAGGAGTTCGGCACGCTTGCCGGGTCAAACACGTGGGAGCAAATCTCGCAGGTTATCGAGAGGAGCGGGTTCTCAAAAGAGCACACTCCACAGCGGATATACGAAGGCGCTGCTCTTGTGTGATCGGTAACTGATAACGGGCGCATCGGCGAGCTCGGACGGCCGGCTGGCAATGGCCGCGAATCGTCATCTGCTTCTCTCTTTACCGGCGGTGGTGCGCTCTCAATGTCCGAAATCGGCACCGGCTGGTCTTCGTCGTCTTCTTCCTTTTTGACTCTCGGCGGCGATGCTTGCTTGGAGGCTCGATCCGTCGTGGCGTTTCGCTTCTCTTGCTTTGGCTTGTTTACTTTAGCTTGAGATGCCGATGCCGATGCCGAGGGCTCGTCTTCGCGTTTGAAACTGAGATGTGTTTGTCGCCATTGTTTGACGGATGCGCGCAGCTCTTGAAGCTCATTCTGCGCATCCTGGTCGTCGGGGTTCTCGTCCTCGCAGACCTTTATCATCCCGCGGCCCTTGCCGTCAAGCATCTTCTTGCCGTCGATATCAACGGCATCCTCAGACTTGACATCCACCGGGTCATCCTCGTACTCGCTCTCCGTGCCGTCCTCCTCGTCTTTGACTGTGAAGTCCTCCTGGGGTTCCTTCTTCTGCTGGTCGAAGCGCGCCAATGCTGCCGCTGCTCGTAATTCGCGGCCTCTGGCACTCCCAGCCACGCGAGGTTTTGCCTGCGTGCGTTTGCCGCCCTCCAGCTTGACCTTGGTCTCCTCATCCGCACCGAGCGCAACGCCGTTTGCACCAAACTTCTTGAGAATCCGACGTTCCTTCTGTTCTTTGTAGGAGAGCTTGGGTTTGGCCTTTCTCTTGCGACCACGCGAGCGATACGTTCCGCCACAGAGATGCTCCGGTAGTGGCTCGCTGGGCAGTGCCACGTTGTTCTGGAACTCACCCGTCTGCAGCAAAGTGCCACGACCCCAGATGCCCTCGCCGGTGTAGCCTCGCTGCCACAAGCCTCTCATCTGCTCTGCGTACTGATTTCTGACGGCCCAAAATGCTCTGGAGTGATTCATTTGTTTGCAGTGCGCCAACCTAGAAGATGATGAGATACGGGATGCCGTCTTCGAACAGTGCGTACGTACTCGTGCATCATGACCATCTGGACATACTCAAACGGAAGCCATCTCCCTGAGCGCGACTTGAGAACCAGCTGCACGATTTCGCCGGCATTGAAGTTTCTTCCGACAAACTCAGGGTTCGGCTCATACTCTTCCAATGACATCACCGATAGGTGGTTTTCTTTCATGATGGGTACTTTTTTCAGTCAGCCAGGTTCCTTGGTCTGCATCATGTGGAAAACTGACAGCATTGCGCCGCAATTCTCTCCAGATAGTCCTGGGCGATTTTCTCGCCTGGGCCCTTCAGCGGCTTGATGAAGATGATGCGATCATTTGGGTGCGAGCGCTTCGCGTTGAGCCGCTGAATGCCGATCGGCATGATGGACTGAAGATGGACACAAACAACAGCGTGATCACCGACCCACAGATTCAAGTAGATCCTGAATTCATGAGATTCCAAATCGCGGAGTGCTTGGCTGGCCTTTTGGTTTCACGCGTTTGCTTGAAGTGGCTTTTGCGACAGAGGACGTAGCTGCCTGCGGAGGGGCGATAATGCAAAGACGCGAGGTCACGTGCGACACTTCAGTGGTCAGGCAGGTGCCATCGAATCGAGAGGCCAACCCTCCAACACTGCATTCTGAGATGTTTTCAATGAAGTATTTTCAACATTTCTAATTGGCTGGATATTTGAAGGATCATCGTCTCTTTGCACCACCAGACGCATCGCCTCTCTCAGCGAGCGACACAACCTCCTGGATGCCAGCAGCTTCCTGCTCCTCTTCCAGAGCCGTGATCTCCTCTCTGCAATCCCACCACTTCTCCTCACTGAGTTCGAAGGCCTTCGCCTTGATCTCCTTGATGGCGAGTGTCTCTGGTTGGATGTTCTTCCACCGCAAGTTGGTCATAAGAATCTCCTGCCACTCTGCGGTGGTACGCACGAAGAAGTCGCGACGAGACTCGAAGGGCTGTGTGGTTGTTAGAGCGAAATCTGATTTCGGTGCTTCCAGGGTTTTACTTACTCTAGGGTGAGGAAGGCCGTCATCGACTGTTTCCTCTGTCGCCTCTGTATCGTCATCCTCCGTGGATGCCGCCGCTGTGGTTTCAGAACCGGCAACAGACGCTTCGTCGACCTTCTTCTTGCGCTTGCTTTCCGTATGCAATCTCGGCTTCTCCTCTTCTTCCATGTCCTCATCCTCATCCTCGTCATAGTCGTCATCATCTTCGTCGTCGTCATCGTCTTCGTCTTCATCCTCGGAATCCTATGTAATGTCAGTAAGGTAACGGAGAGAAGGTACTCGGGTGCGCTCACGATCCAGTCCTCGACGGGCCTGTTGAAGATCTCCTTGCATCCGTCCATCTTTCCAAGATCCACAGCATACAAATCGTCGAATGTAAACTCGCGATCCTTCTGCTCGAACGTGCCGCCATAGATGTAAAGCACATCGTCCTGGACGGCAAGCTGAGCGTTGAATCGCTGATGCGGCAGCTCCATGGTGATGGGCATCTCCCTCAAAGGCTTAACCTCCTCTTCAGGCTCCTCCTTCTTGTCAAGCTCCATGTCCTCTGCGTCCTCCAAAGACTTGCCCGTCTCCAGAGCGGCCAGCTGTCTGAGAAGCTCCTCCTCTCGATCCTGGGCTCTGTTGCGACGGCCACCGCGCTGTTCAACGACTTGCTTCTTTTGTTGACGGGCCTTGCGAAGAACTAGCGGGAAGAAGCGATTACGCTCAATGTTCCACGCAAACAACTCCCTGAAGAACTCGCTGTCTATGCCCTCTTCACTCTGCTCCACGTCATGCACACCTCCAAACAGAATGCCACGTCCCTTGTGCCATGTCATGGTCGAACCCGCGCGCTTGGGGTTGGGAGCATTGGCAGGCTTCTTGCGTCGTTCCCAGCGGACAACGGGAGGGGCGGTGGCCGGTGAGCCTTCCGCAGGCAGAGACATTCTGAGGAAGAAGCAGTCATCGTGAACCATGGGTTTCAGGATGTTCCTCTGCCCCTGAGCAGAGCCCTTGGCTTGCTTGTTGGCTGCTACCGTGGCCTTGACTCTGGAGTAGCCTCCGTAGAGAACCGCTCCTTGCTCATGGGGGAGCAGCGTGAAGGACGATCTCGGGTCAGGCTTCAGCTGAGCAGGAGGCAACGTTGGACTGAACCACGAGAAGTTCTGGGTATCAAAGATCCACAGGTCGGCGAGATACTTGGTCTGGTTTGAAGTGTCTTGGAAACCACCGAACAGAATGATGTACTGCTTCCAGTATGTCATACGGTGACCACTTCTCGCCGGAGGTGTCTTGCCCTTGCATTCAATCTTTGTCCATTCTCTCGTGGCAGGCTCCAGGCGCCAGAAGTCCGAGTAGTGGTGGAAAGTACCCTGCTTCGGCGAGGAGAACTCTCCGCCAAACAGGTAAATGTGGTTCGGGTTGGAAGCCCGAGTCCACGCATGTCCAGAGCGCGGCAGCGGCGCATTTGGCGACGTCACGGTCCTCCACTCATCGCGGTCAATATAGTAGATGTGCAAGTCATTGAAGAACTGCGCCAATGCGCCGTTGAAGTACTCGCCACCAAAGAGCAACAGATTGTTGCGATCACAGGGCGAGGCCATGAGTGTGGAGGCAGAACGAGGTTTAGGGGGCGCCTCAGCCACAGTCTCGGTGATCTTGAGAAACTGCTCCTGCTGCCTCTTGTACTCTTCGAGCACTTGCTCGAGATCCACGTCCTCGGCATCGCTGCCCTCGAGCTTCGCAGCCTTGGTCTTGGCCTTTTTTTCACCCTTGTTGGCTTGCTTTGCCTTCTTTGCGGCCTACTCCATATCCAAGTTAGGCAAGGTGGAATAGAAGCTTGATCATGTTGGTGAGGGACGTACTGCCTTAGCCGCCTTCTCGTCGCTCTTGCCGCCCTTCTTAGCCTTGGCCATTTTGGGTGGTCTCAAAAAGTGCAGTGATAACGTGCGGGCAAATTATTGTTGACTTTTGTGACGTCGGCGGGGTGAATGGTGGGATGAGATGATGGTGGGGTTCATCACGCTGGAAATTTTCATGTCGAGTGAGTGAGGGGCAAATCAGATCGAACGTACAGTTCAAGTGTCCCCGCCATCACTGTGTTTTCCTGGCACTGATGCGTGTTCTGTACAGTGCGAACATAAGCCATTGGTGGTTACGAAAGATGTTGGGTATTCAAAAGCAGCCAGCCCGTCAATTATGACCAGCATCCGCTGGTAACATTCAACGGTCATAGTCATTTTCAGATATTTGAAGAACACCGCAGATAAAGGCAATAAATTGGACCCAAATAGGCTCTGAAGAAGCTTCAGCGTCGCGTGTCTTTGCCGTTCAAGCGATCTCTTAGATAACAGGGTGCTTTGGCACGGGTCGGATGCTGACAAGATGGGATCCAGAGCTCTGAAAGAGGCGCTTTAAACTGTCTTGTCACATGCCAGAGTTCATCCCCTCCGCACGCTCTCTACAGGTACTTGAACATGGAAACGTGGCTGTTCTTGATTTTGCAAAGATAAACGGGCAACGCGGCACGCTACTAGCAGCTAAGAATTCACGCCAGCGCAATGCTGTTGCGAATTAGGCAAGTTTCAGACCAACAGCTCAACAACATTAGTCCAAGACAACCGTGATGATCGGTCTGGGGATCTGCTGCAAGGGCCAATTGCAACCTAGAGGCGAGCGTGGTAGGAGACCTGTTCGATGGTGTTGCTGACCTTTCATTCGACTAAGCCGCTGGTTGGATATGCACAGAAGCCTGCCGGCAGACGCCAGAACGTTTCATGGCCAGGATCTGGAAGACTCGCAAGGACAGACGATGGAAGTCAACAGCCACAATCACATGTCAATAGGAAGCTCATCGCACTCAGTTGCTGGGGTTGTTGATAAACATACGAAAAGCAATGTGGGATTTGTGCATGTTATGCATGAGTTATGCAGACAACCCTGCATGCGGCGCAGCCGCTAGCCGGCATGTGGAGCCTCACGTCATCGCCATTGGCGGGAGCTTCGGGGGTACCGCGACCAGGGCAGCAGAGCTGGCTCACTCGTCGCACCCGCTGTCGGCACCAGCAGCCAACCTGAACTTCGTTTCGCAACTCTTCTGCGTCTGCCACTTCCACCACCACCACCAACACGACCAGCGCCACAACCTTCCGCCCTTGCTCTATGTGCATTCCTCGAACCGCTCCCTCTTAGACTTCGGACCCTGTGCGCCCAAAGTTTCCGATCACTGCTGGTCAAACCCTCGCCCCTTACTGAGAACAGGCCGTGGGTCTGCCGCTAGAAGTCGACCGACTCCGTTCACAGACGCCATCGCCCTGCGCGTCTTTCGTCCCTCGCTCCTCGTTCCTGGGCAACCCGGCCTAGCTTGCGCCGTCGAACGCACGTCTGTCGCCGTCTGAGCTTCGGCCCTACCGCCATCCGACGCCGACTCAGCCATGTCTAGCATTGGGGACACGGGGAAAGTGGCTGTCAGTCCAGGTAAGGGATCACCCACATAAATACCATTCTTCCTCCGCAACACACACTTTGTTACACGGTTGGCCATTGCATGTCTTTGAACGGAGCAGGCACCTGTCATCACGAAATTACAAGCAGCCATGCCTAAGAACAAGAAGTCGGCTCGCTCTAAGTCGCCGTCAAAGAGGGCTGAGCGGAAGCCAAGCAACCCTCAACTGGCTGCGCAATCGGCTGAGGCAGGGAATCGCAAGATTAACGTCGTTGCAGAAGCTCCAGAGCTTGGGCCATCACAGCCAGCAACCACCGAAGCCCCGAAACCTACCCCCGAGAAACAGGAGAAACAGGAAAAACAGGAGAAGCCTACAGTAAGATACAGTGTGGAACAGTCAAGCTGTAAGCCCAACTGACATCCACATCCAGAACCTTCATGAAACCCCAAAGAAGGAAAACCGAGATGAACGAAAAGCGACCTTCGCAGATGTGGCGAAGGGCAACGTCGACGATGATAGCAATGGACACTCCCCTGACGTGGAGAGGAGCTTTGGAAGCGAGGGCACCGCTGACGAAACGTTGGTCGACGGCTTCGACGTAGACAAGCCTGAGTCGACTACGGTGAAGAGCATGGATGATGACGAATATCCGCGTCTCTCCCTGGCTGCATTCGGCAGGAGGAACAGTCATCGATACGGTTGGAAAGCTGGTGGCATAAGATTTGCACCTCTTCAGGTCCCTTTCAGTCGCCGATTACAGACGGGAGCCGTTCTGTTCCACGGTCTTTCCATCTTGACATTTGTCTCCATCTTCTTCTTCCTCGCCGCTATCCCTTTCACATGGCCACTCCTGGTTCCTTACCTGATTCATCTCTCACTCTCCAGCGTTGCGTCCGACGGCAATCTCAAGTACCGCTCCGAATGGCTGCGTTCGCGCTACATCTGGAGGCTCTTTGCAGACTACTACCCGGCTGAGCTGCACAAGACTCACGATCTGCCACCTACCAGGAAGTATATCTTTGGCTACCACCCCCATGGAATCATTTCCCATGGCGCTTTCGCCGCTTTTGCGACCAACGCTCTTGGTTTCGATGAGCAGTTCCCGGGAATTACCAACTCGTTGTTGACTCTTGACAACAACTTCCGCATCCCCTTGTACCGAGACTACATTCTGGCGATGGGTGTCCGATCCGTTTCTAAGGAGTCGATCTGGAACACCTTGAGCAAAGGCGGCCGCAATGGCGAGGGTATGGGCCGCGCCGTTACCATCGTCGTTGGCGGAGCCAGAGAGTCCCTCGAGGCCCAGCCCGGAACTCTGAGACTGATCTTGAAGGGCCGCAAGGGTTTCATCAAGATGGCCCTGCGAACTGGAGCCGATTTGGTGCCTGTCTTGGGCTTCGGCGAGAACGACCTCTACGATCAGCTGAGCCCGAAGACTCATCCCTGGGTGCACAACTTCCAGATGTTCGTCCTCCGCGTTTTCAAGTTTACCTTGCCCGCGCTCCACGGACGTGGTATTCTCAACTACGATGTGGGCATGATGCCTTACCGCAGACCTCTCAACATCGTCGTCGGAAAGCCCATCAAGGTCACCACGCCCCCCTCCGCTCAGCCATCACAGGAGGAGATTGACCGCTTGCACGAGCTGTACATTGCCGAGCTGCAGAAGATTTGGGACACGTACAAGGATCAGTTCGCGCCTGAGCGCAAGGCCGAACTTCAGTTCATTGCTTAAGTCGCTACACTCTCGAACATTGGATGGAACATCCTTTTCACCCTGTATACAATTTTCCTACCTTAGTCGTATGCTGCTGGCCGGAGTTGGTCAGAGGAGAGACTCAATTTTGTTTATGTTTTGGCGCCCGGAGGTCAACTGGGAAAAAGGGGGGCAATAAGAATAGGAAATTTGTAAGCCTGGATAGAGGTAGCATTCCATCACTATCAATAACCGATATACATTGCGAAACGAAGCCGATGAACATCTGAAGTAGTGAAACGATTCTGCATCGCCGCGCCTTCGTCTGGTTACGATCACAACGCAGATGCGACCTGCGAGGGGAATGTGGGGTGCGACGCTGAGCGGCTGCTCGAGCTAGGGGGCAGGGGGCTGTTTAATTGACGTCACATGACCACGTGGAAACTCAATCGCGTCTGACGCGTCGACTTGACCTCGAGTATTTTGAGCTGCGGCAACCAGCTTTTTCAATTACAAACTCCACGAAACCTCCCGATTTCGCCGATCAAACTCCTCCGTCGAGTCGACTCTGTTTTCTATATAAGTCTCAGCTTCTTATCAGATTCAGAACAGAGGAGAAAATGCCTCCTCGTACGTCGGCTCGTAGGAAGGCGCAAGCTGTCGTCGAGACCAAGGTCGAAGAGAAGACCACCACCAAGGCGAACGGATCCAAGAGCGCGACTACTACTGCCGCCAAGACCAAGACCACTGCAGCCCCGAAGGCCGCCCCAAAGCGCAAGGTTGAGTCGGAAGACGAGCACGAGGAGTGTGGCAGCTGTGCTGAGGAAGAGGAGAAGCCCGCAAAGAAGAGGAAGACCGCCGCCAAGGGCAAGGCAAAGAAGGAAGACGACATGCCTCTCGCGGAAAGAACAGCCGTTTCTTCGTTGAAGAAGGCGATGTACATCGGTGCTCATGTGAGCGCTGCAGGAGGTACGGACAGCCCTCGGCTCTCCTATGACGATCCTGTTTTACTGACGGTCTTCTTCGCAGGTGTGGATAACTCGATTCAGAATGCCGTCAACATCGGCGCCAACGCCTTCGCTCTCTTCCTCAAGTCTCAACGCAAATGGGAGAGCCCGCCTCTCGCGGCCGACGCCAAGAAGAAGTTCCTCGAGCAGGCAAAGGCAAGCGACTACGACGCCGGCGCCCATGTCCTCCCACACGGATCATACCTCGTCAACCTCGCGCAAGCGGACGCCGCTAAAGCGAAGCAGGCGTATACCAGTTTCATAGACGACCTTCAACGCTGCGAGCAGCTGGGGATCAAGCTTTACAACTTCCACCCGGGCAATACTGGAGGCGAGGCGAGAGAGGAGGCGTGCGGGCGGATTGCGGCGCAGTTGAACGCGGCGCATAAGGCGACGAAGAGTGTTGTCACTGTGCTGGAGAACATGGCAGGCGCGGGCAATGTCATCGGCACCAAGTTTGAGGATTTGAAGGAGATTATCGACAAGGTTGAGGATAAGAAGAGGGTGGGCGTGTGCATTGATACGTGCCATGCCTTTGCGGCGGGCTATGATTTGCGGACGCCTGAGGTGTTTGGGGAGACTATGAAGGAGTTTGACGAGGTTGTGGGTAACAAGTATCTCAAGGCCTTCCACCGTAAGTTTGCCATTGGATATTGATGGCTTGGAAAAGAATGCTAACGAGGTCCAGTCAACGACAGCAAGGCACCATTTGCTTCGCATCGCGATCTCCACGCCAACATCGGCACCGGCTTCCTCGGTCTGCGGGCCTTCCACACACTGGTCAATAACGAGGCCTTCAAAGACATGCCAATGGTCCTCGAGACGCCCATCGACCGTAAGGACGAGAATGGCAAGAGTGTCGAGGATAAGAAGGTGTGGGCTGATGAGATCAAGCTGCTGGAGAGCTTGATTGGCATGGACGCGGAGAGCGACGAGTTTAAGGAGCTCGAGGAGAAGTTGCAGAAGCAAGGAGCCAGCGAGAGGAGTAAGATCCAGGATCAGGTTGACCGCAAGGCTGCTAAGGATTCTAAGAAGGGAACGAAGGGCACGAAGAAGGCGCCTGCGAAGGGCAGGAAGAAGAAGGTCGAGAGTGATGAGGACAGCGAGTGATGGATTCGCTATGTCAGTGTATCAATATGTGTTATGAGGGCGCGTGGCCTGTGTACAGTAACGCTGTTGTCCGCGAAAGGACTGGAGTGTATGAAATCTAATCGATGATGATCCTTCCCTGAGGCATGACATGATAGGTGCAAACAGCAGAACCCCGTCGAGGTTGAAATGCCGTGAAATGGTACCTGCTGACTATACGGCACCGGTCCAGGCAGTTATCACTCTTCATAAGGAAAATGGGATGATGTTAGTCGCTGAAAGGGCCTGGGTTTGGAACCGGTTGAATCATCTGCTCTGGCGAGATCCATAAATAGCATGCGCTTACCCAGACATCGCTCTCTCGCAAGGCCAATAGTGGTGGTGTCAATGGATGCGTAAACGGACTTTGCATCATAAATGACCCTCCCAACAACACTTATAAGGGCTAGACTCTCACATTGCATAATACGTCAACCATATTCCGTCTTTTGTTCTCGATCGGTCCTGGCGGCTGTGTATTCAATGTCAAAAAGCATTGGACTCCGCCTTGGACATGGGCCACTTGGGTTTTCGACATGAAATCTGTGACTTTCGGACCAGATATCAACAGAATGATCGATTCAGCTAGACATAGAACAATCCAACGCAAACAGTCTTCTGGAAGAAAAGTCGTAGCACAACTGCTATGTGGTAATTATAATTGGTAGCGGTCATGGACGATGTGGGAGCAGGTGTGTGTCCATGCTTTCCACATTGAAATAGAGAGGGAAACAGGCAGCCAGTATTGCCTGTATGCCCATAAGTAGAAGTCAAGCATCATCGTTCAGGTCTTCATCGAACCCAACCAGTGAATGTTCGATTGCAAGTAACAAATACCGAAAAGCTTAGATATAAGTCCTGGCGTGCCGGACCTCGGATCTCTTCCCCCGACGACAAAAGCGAATGAGGTTGGTGGACGATTGCATCTCAGCGATCTCTCGCAGACAAGTACTTGGTCTCTTTTAGACACAAATGATCGCAGAGGAGTTCCCATTTGGGTGAGCCCTTCTGTGTTCCTCATGTTCCTCATTTCCGCTGTCAATCATTCTGTGAGTATTCAACATCTAATACGGAAATCTATGTCGATCATGCAGAGAACCATGAGCTGAGCTGGGGGATTTCTGAAGCCGGCAACGCAATTCAGTCTCCGCAGCAAGAGCATTGTTGCCATGTACAATCGTCCGCTCCGGTTCCAACTAGTCTGAAGACTCCACAACTATTTGGAGAAGCATACATGCCCATGCCGGTATATGTGGCAGCACCGCAGTGTTTGAAATATCAGCAGACACAGATCGGACTCAGGGTTAGGTTGAACGGGCTCGTTGAGGCCTGGCTCATTTTGCCCCTGGAAGCATTTACATCACCGCATTCGATGTATGCCGTATGTCTTGCTTCGGTATTTTGGTGTAAGAGGGATACAGCAGAATAAGAGAACGCTTGCAGAGAACGATGGCGGGAGGTAGAATCATCATTAAAGCAGATGTGTTAATATTGAACGGCTTGTCGACTGCCTAATTCTTGATCTAAGATCAAAGAGTTTCGGGGGAATCATGTTGAGATACTGGTCACGGATTTTCTTCATTAGGTTAGGTCAATATATTTGAGTCTACCAAGCCGTTGTGGCTTCGTTCTATATACCCGTTCTGTCTGCTGAAATGAGGAATAGGTTTAGCCGTCTATGCAAGACCTCACTTTCAAATTTCAGTCAGAACCGTAAGAAAAAATGCGTCAGTGTTGCAAGTCTATTTCTCAAAATACAAAAGCCAGTCTAGTCTAGCCTTGACCCCCTCCGCTTGATTAACTAATCTACAAATTCATTTCAGGATCGACCCTTCCTTTATCACTTTAAACACACAAACCTAGGCAGGAAGCGACATGATGCGAGTCTCACGAATTTGAGCTCCCTCATTGCCAAGGTATCGCTCGCTCGTGTAACTAGAAGCTAGATTAGTGAAGCCCCAAAAGAAAGCATTTTGCGAGAGCCACTTACGTGAAATGGAGGTTTCCAAGAGCGATAGTACGGCAAGCCTCAATATATCTGAGCACTTCCTTGTCCACACTTTCACCCCAAACTGGCAGTTCCGCTAACGCCTTGTACCAGGATCGGTAGCACTCCAGTATCATATCGCCAATCTGATCAATGGCTTCTTGTTCACTAAAGCCTTGGGCCCTAAGCAGCAAGATGAGGTTATGCTCGCCTCCTTGTTCCTGTGTAAAACTTTTATCAGTATGGGCTCGCGTAGCATTTAGACTAAACAACTCACCAAGTCTTTGCGATATGACAGGATGTCGTTGACGCTATATTGGGTTAGTGAGATACAAGGCATAAGTCGAGTCTACTCACAAGATGACAAGATCAGCAGAGACTCGCTCGCATTCTCGCACAGACGGATGGCTAAGGTACTTCTGTGAGATGCTGATGTCATGAGCGTACCTTCACAGCAACTGGTAAGTAGGTTTATGACGGCAAAATTAGATAACCTCTTACTCAACCAGGGCAAATGATGGCTCTGTTCCAATCGTAGCCCGTCGGAAGTTCATATACTCATCAACAGTGAGTGTGAACGCAGACTGCGAATGTGCTACCTTCACCTGGCCGAGAAGTCCATCAAAGTACATTTTGTGGGAAACTTTCCAATGCTCTTGCAAATCTAGGAAGCGTATTAGTGGGAGTTCCAGGCTGTGTTAATCTTGTCATACCGGCCGATGATCTCTGTTGATTTGTTAGCTCGCGAATGTACGATCGAATTGGGAAGTTACGTACCTTCTTAACACGATCCCAGGTCGTCTGAAAGACATATCTGATTGGGTTCTCATGAAGCTGCACCGGTGGGTTCCGGCCCTCTAGGATGGCCCAGTGAGCATCCAACTCTTCCTTGGCTTTGATTGGGTCGTTTTTCAGGTGACCCTCATCAAATTCTACATGGTGTCAGTCGCGTCGAGAAGTAGACACATGAAGAGTACATACGGTCATCAAAGACGAATACCTATATTAACAATCAAGGTCAGACACGCATGAGGAGAAGTGTGATAGCACTGTTACTTACCCAATTGTGCCAGTCGACCATCATGCGAAGGGCCTCTTCGTCAGCATATGGAGCCGAAAGCGCGCACATCAAAGCAAAATCAGCTTTGACATTCTTCTTGGCTGCGTTCTCATCAAATTGGAACACCCTATACGTCGTCTTAGTTCGAGATGTTTGTAGAAGGGTAGGTAGGTATTGGTTCACTCTTTGATCCAATTGTCTGCCTCAAGCTTGACCTTCTCATAGTTGGCGTTGACAACAGGTTCAGTTGAGAGAATCGAGGAACATAGATCCGGAATGCGCACGGATTTGCGTGCTGAACTGACACGCCCTTTCATGAAGGAAAGGTTGGGTGAGATAGATTCATCGTCTGATTCAGGGGGTGTGCTCGAGGTATCTGGAGACCCAGGAACGTACTCAAGGGGGGAAGAAACCTCACACTCGCTCGCATTCGAAGGCATGTTGTCAGGAGAATATTGAGGGATTTGGAATGTTTGATATACACTCGCGTAGCTGATAAAGATGTGAATGTCCAGTTGCCGACGATGGTCTTGGGAACATAAGCACAACTGAGGCAGGAAACTCGAGACCATTATATAGTTGAGACAAAATTAAAGGCTAGGGGCTTCATCATTGTCCTTGGTCTGTCTGCCTAACAGCGCCTCCGTGACCCCATCCACAACTTTCTGTCATTTTCTTGGACGCTCAGAAATACTCAGAAATCACAATATCACCAACACGATATCCCACCAAGGCTGTTGAGACCCCCACTGCTGGGATCCCCACATCCATCTTTCTTCAGCAGTCAGGGCAACACGGCCCCCAACGCCTTCCTCCGGGGGCGTCAGAATGGAGCCTCTTTTGACCCGGAACGCCCGAACCACAGAACTCACGTCATCTCAACCTATTGTGCCGCAGGAGTTCGTTGCCCTCAAAGAGGCTTATCTTATCCTCATGACTCGTAAGTTTCTTGGTTTCTAACGGATGGTTGCAACTGATGGACCGAAAGGAGTTAAATGGAGCTAATGTGCAATTTTGTCCAGCTGATTTTGTTAGCCAGTGGCTGCAATACAAGCCACATTTTGAACGGCACCCAAAATCCTGCAGGATCAGTTAGAGTTGCAATAAGGCTGAAGTTGCACTTGTGGATGGAAGAGACAGGATGAACACTGGTCAGTGGCCCGGCAAATACGACGACGGAATGTTCTAAGTTACACTTTCCCGCTAAATCAAGAAACGTATGCAATCCCAAGTTTAGTGCGATAACATTCATGCAAAATATGAAGCCATGATAAGCAAGGCTAAAAACGATCTTTCTCTCATGGACATCCCAAAGCTGGAGCATGGCACGAGATCTTGTCCATATGCCCGATGAGTCAAAATCGATGCAAGGCGTTTGATAGTTGATTGAAACCCAACTTTCTAGATTCTGGCATTTGAAAATGATTGTAATGGAGCAATTCGCAGAGGGTGCCTAAAAGCCGGAACAAACTCTGCCGCGTATGGAGCATTGGAATAAACCCCGGTCAGATGCGTGCGAAAAGGGAAAATGCTTCGGCCCTCCTACGCCGAGAACTTTGTAACGAGCCAATCAGAGCATCGACATGTGTTCCGTGTTGGTACAATATTGCCTTGCTGCTGAAGGCGCAGCCCCGTTGCGACCATGGGGGCAGCAGTCTGGCTGTTGGTTGAGAGAAAAACAACTGTTGGCGTGCGATAGCTGAAGCCTGAAGATAGACGTCTGCTGGGGTCTCGGGGGCGGCGGATCAAAGTCTGTTCTTTCTTCTTGGGATAAAATGATCCTGCATTAGAGGTGGAGTTGATGCTGCGGAACAATTGCCTAATGCATCGACACTGTCCGAACCAACCAAACAGGCCGCATTACCAGTTGTAGTCGTCGGGGGAAGTGAAGCAAATGTATTGTGATTGGCAGTATTAGTCGCCAGAACAGCCCGAAACCAATGCAACGATGCGGGGGATGTCATACAACAAGTGTCACATTGCATTCGTACCGCATGAATATTGCAGAGAAGATGTCTTGGAAATACACGTGAGGGGTTGAAGAGCTTGCCACAGACAGTTTAATAAATTCGTCAGTGCCATTCCCCTGTTTTCTTTTGAGAACTCTATCCGGTCTTTGATTTTGTTTGAACCATCTTGGTCGCTTTAGACAAGTTCAATTACAGTTCTATTGTTTTTTTCCCCTTTTGCACGCATGAGCTCCTGCTTTGGCCCTTGACCATGGCGCTGACATATTCTGTGTCGAGCAGCATACAATTGCTTCTGCTGGGGAGTCTGCTGTATTCCATTGGGCTGTTGCTCTACAGGCTCTTCTTTCATCCTCTCAGAAACATCCCCGGACCTTGGTGCGCCGCAGCGACTAGCTGGTATGAATTTTACTATGACGTTGTTCTGGACGGTCAGCTTGTCAGACAATACCCGATTCTCCACGAGAAATACGGTGAGTGATATGGGCACCAGGACTGAAGAGAGACAGTGCTCACATTGTAACTCCCGCAGGGCCTGTAATCCGCATCTCTTCCGACCGCATACATGTCAGCGATCCCAGCTTTTTTAGGGAGTGAGTTCCGTTACGGATGAAATTCTAAAGAAGCGACTCATTTCGTAAACAGGGTTTATGCGAACAACAGCCGATATCTCAAAGACTCGGGTTTCTACCAGGCTTTCGGCACGTTGAAATACTCCATCGTCATGCTTATTGACCCGGAAGAGCACAAGCAGCGAAGAAACACAGTCAAGTCCCTTTTTTCGACCAGACAGATGGATCAGCTGGCTCCTTCGATTTTGGATGTCGTCAGCAGGGCAATGAATAGGGCACAGAGATCTTACGACAGAGGAGCCCCGCTGAACATTCAGGCTTTGTGGTCATCCGTCACAGTAGGTCTTTACATAACAGGTGGAGGAAAGAGGTTCGCTAAGTTGTACAAAGGTTGACACGATCATGTCTGTTTTATTTGATCGACAAATGAACTTTGTGGACTCAGACGAGGAGATGCCCCCTTTTCTGGACGCCATGACGAAATTCGCAGACAATTTTCTTCTCACGAAACACTTTCCCCTGATGAACCGCCTCGCCGTTGGCTTGCCAATGAGCATAGCTGGTATGATAATACCAGGATTCGCGGCTTTCCGCAAGGTAAACCACCAAAACTCTAGAGATTGACTTTTCACTGATTGTAGACGTCAGCAATGCTCGGAATGGATTGGAGAAATCGAAGATAAGCAAGCTAAAGGCTTGACAACAGCGTCTGATGGAAGACCCACTTACTTTGACTTGTTGCTCCGCTCCAATGCTAAGATGCCCAATGGGCTGAATAGAGAGGCGCTTGTGGACGAGGCTTTTGTTCTTTGCTTTGCTGGTACTGACACCACAGGTATTGGTCTTAGTCTCGGGACCTACTACCTACTGAAGAACCCCGAGAAGCTGAACAAGATGCTTGACGAGTTGATGACGGTGAAGACCAATGCCGAGGGGCTTTTTGAGTACCGCGAACTTTGCAACCTCCCATACCTGGTCAGTAGTCCTGCCAAGCTTCATATAATCCCATGCTGACCTGCCCCATGACTGCTGTGTGCAAAGAGATTCTTCGCTTGTCTTCGCCAGTGCCAGGAATTACTCCCCGCAGAGTCCCTGCTGGAGGTGTATACGTCGCCGGTCATTTCCTTCCGGAAGGGGTGAGTTTGTCGATTGCTACTTGTTTGTCACATCGCTCAACTCTCAAACAGTCGACTGTATCCCAGGCGATCAGAACCATTCATGACAACCCTGATATCTTTCCGGAACCAGAGAGATTCGTCCCTGAGCGTTGGCTCGGAGAGAACGGATGGGAGCTAGAGAAGTGGTTCGTTCCCTTCAGTAAAGGAACACGTGCTTGCATAGGATTGAAGTGAGTGCTAGTCGTTGGCTGAGTTCGCGTGGAGAGACTGACACTTCAAAGCGTCGCTTACATGGAGATGTATCTCTGCCTTGCAAACCTATTCACCCGCTTCAACATGAGTCTCTACAAGACAGACGACACTACGACACAGTGGGCGGATGGTCCTGCGGCTAGAATTCGTGAAAGTGTCAAAGTCAACATTGATTCGGTCAAAATGTAGTTGCTTCAAAACTTTACCACCGGTATGTCTTTCGGCTATTCATTACTGATTTGCGGTCGAATAAACCAATAAGCTGCATAAAGATGTAGAGCTGCGAGGATGTTGTTCGGTATTCCACTGCCTGTCAAATATCTTGTGTCAGATACTGTGCTGCTCACCCCTCTTCTCTTGGCAGCGTGAGTACAGCTATGCAGTCTGCTCAGCGACCAGTAATATGTGGAATTCAGCGGTAGGAATCATGCAAACATCTGTTTGCTTCTGCAATCTACATGATCAAGCCATTAGCACTCCATTTTAGACGTAAAGAGACATCTTCGCCGCAGATGTGCATGTAACTCTCCCTTTCTGTTGATTCTTCTTAGAATTGTGTGCTGCATTCATCCCCGTCAAGAAAGAGGGGTTCTAGTCTCACGTGTTGGGAGTGCCCACTACAAAACGGTCGAATCGCCCACGTACTTTTCTATCTAGATGTCCCAATCTTTTCTTTTGAACGAAGATGAGTCACCCAGCCACCAGAATTGTCTTTAAATCAGTAGTGGTATCTTGGTGTAGAACTCATCATGAGTCAGCCAGCAGCAGACCAGGAACAGGTCGATCAAGAAGTCCAACTTGTCCCTGAGGACGAGGTAATGATGAAAGGATTGTGATTTGCGACTTTGAGAGGAGTATGGCTGATTCTGCTCGCAGGCTTTAGACGAAAATGGAGTGGATACCCAGGTATGTTTTACCTTCCAGGGCCTTCTTCATGCCTTGTGTTGCTAACGTCGTTTCCAAACAGAGTCTTGCCTCGTCAACCACTAGCTTAGCCGACTCAATCCGCGACTATGTCTTCAAAAATGGCAGAACATACCATCGCTACAAGGAAGGGAGCAAGAGACTCCTGCCCGTTTCCATTTTCCCGGCGACACTACTCACAGAAACATCTAGAATACAACATGCCAAACGACGAACGTGAGAACGATTGAATGGGTAAGAACTCCCAGCCAAATCTCTCGTTGTGCCACGATTTCATGACTTAACAGGAGTCTCTTTTACATACATGCAACATAATATGTTCCTCATGACACTTGGCGGGCGTCTGGGTATTTCTCCGCCTTGTCAACCGGGCGCTTATGTTCAACGTGCTCTCGACGTAGGCACTGGCACTTGGGCCATTCAATATGCAGAAGACCATCCCGAGGCCACAGTATCTCACACCGATGAATCATCCTAGATCGTACTTTTTCAAGAAGCTGATCTGAATTGTCTTTAGGTGTATGGAATAGATCTATCTCCAACCCAGCCAGATTTGTACGGTGAATTTGAAGCGAGCAGAAAGACAGATTTAGGACTGATATATGTCTCTTAGCGTCGTGCCAAACGTCAAGTTTGAGATTGATGATATCGAAGAGGAATGGACCTACTCGCAACCGTTCGACTACATCCACAGTCGCTTCATGACCTCTAGCATTTCAAGCTGGAAGGAATATCTGACAAAGTGCTACGAGTATGTCATCCGCACTTTTAAAGATGTTTTTGAACTTTCACTGCATTCATTTCTTGATCTAGATCGCATCGCTCACAACATGGCAGCAATCTTTCCCCCGGAGGCTACGTCGAACTCCAAGAGGCTGAGATGGACCCCCAAGCGGATGACGGCTCGTTCCCGCCAGACTGTGCACTCGCCCGCTTCGCCATCCTCTTGAAGGAGGCCGCGTCTTTATTGAGCCGCCTAAACTCAAGCCACTAATGGCAGAGGTTGGTTTCGAGGACGTGACCCTTGTCCGATACAAGTGGCCAATCAACGACTGGCCCAAGGACCCCCGATGGAAGGAGCTCGGAGCTTGGAACCTCGAGAACAACCTCGGCGCTGCTGAGAGTCTCGCCATGGCACCGCTCACCCGAGCACACGAATGGAGCCGTGCTGAGGTTGAGGTGTTTCTTATGGAGGTTCGGCAGGACTTGAGAAACAGGGCTATCCACGGATACTTTCCACTGTAAGCTAACCATACAATGATTGGCTCGTGGTGATTTTTCATAACGAAGACTAACAGTATTCTTAGGTATTTCATTTACGGTCGAAAGCCACTGTAGACGGACGATCTTTCTTGGCAAGGCGCAGGCATATGAGAACCACTATTTACAGTCAAGTCTTAACTCTCGTTACTACATTCTTCTGCGGCATATGGTTGTCTGTTTGAATGATAGCCTGGCACAAGTAGAGCCAGAAGATGTAGAAGCCTCGCTTTCAAGGAGTCCAAACTGCTTCACTGCATAACACTAATGCAAGCCGCCAGAATTGAGCGAGTAGCATCCAACGGAAAGGGTCCTAATCATGCAGGCTGCTGTTTACTTCACTGCATTTTATTGTCGTTCTGAAGGCATCTCCACCACGTGAGCTCGATGACGATATCAAATGAGAAAAGGCGATATAACTGTCGAGACCTTTGCACTTCTTACTTTAAGCTTGGGTCCACGCATCTCGGTCGAAACAATGCCGTTCGCGTCACAATTGATCAAGTGATTTTCTTGAAAACAGTCGAGTACTCGCTGAGTCCGTCGGTACTCGGAAGACACGTAGTTGCAATTCGTTTGCCCAACCCGGCTTCTGGGGATCTCGATCGCCACTGTCCATCATGGCTATCGCCCCGCGGCGCCATCTCTCATCTATTGATGCAGTTGTATTCAATATGGTTCTGTCTAAAGATTCGTCTCCAACATGGATTGAGAGCGACTACGAGTTGGATAATTAAGCGTAATATTTCCTGGAACGAAAATCAGAGTGCAATGGGACAACGGCAATTGTTTGCGGTCAGACTTCAAAATAAATCGCTAATTATCTTATGTGCCTCTGATTAAAGCTTGGACACTCTTGACTGTGGATATGACTTTCAAAACCGTATATTAATTCACGGAGATCATGATTCCTACTCTTTTCGACCACAATTAGGTAGACACTCCAGCGGTCTGGCTTTCTCGCAAAGTGTGCTTATCAGTGCGAGACCACAATCCTCGCTTGAGGTGTTCCAAGGTCACCCATCCTCGCTGATGGGGTTCAAGGGCGTGTATCACTGGACGTCCATTCCTCCTTGAGTATCAGTCTGAATAACCGCCTGAGAGACAGCACTTAACCGAGAAGGTTCCCCGTACACGCAAGAGTCGAACCCAGAATACCGGTACTTCCGGCCAACTAGCCGCTTCTTGGTGCATGCCGTTCAGATACGAGTACGAAGATTGACATCAAGGAACACTATCTTTTTCTTTGGAGATCCGTGGAGTTTTACCTATCTCGGTTGTTTAAATAGAGACCAATTTGTGCGGGACGACGTGAAAGTATGTATGCCTTCAAGCCACTGCGGGCTTCGTTGACATTAATGTTTCTCAAGCTCAAGTGCCATCTTGGGAATTATAAAATTAATAGGTCATGCTAGGAAAAAGAGGAAGGCCAGTGCCACAACAGATCAGAAAGGCGTAAGAGATGGGCACATGTACCCTATTCCGTAACTTAAAAGAAGCATAATGCTAAACTATATCCAAACAAGCGAGGGTATATCTTGCAAACAAACAAGTCGCTTCCAAGGTGGGGGTATCATTCAGACTCCAAATCCCAACTCCAAAAACAGAACTCTCAAAAACAGAACTCTCAAAAATCACCTCTCAAACCTCCCGTACCTTTCCTGCTCCTCCTCAACATGCGCTCGGTACACCTTCCTAAGCTCCTCCAGCCCCGCCTCGTTCTCCCTCTCCCGCTCCCTCATCCTCGCCGCCGCCGGCCCGCTGCCCACCGCATCGATCCCAACCAACGCCTCCGCCTCAATCCGCGACACGAACCGCCCGTCCCGCAGGAACAACCCCGGGTGGCATCCCACCAGCGCCACGAGCGCGTACGCAACCAGCAGCCCCTCCAACCCGACGAACAGGCCCTCCCCGTCCTTCGCGGAGACGCCCCCCGCGTACTCCGCCACCCGGAAGCACATCCGCCCGAAGAGGACGGCCATAGCCGACGGCACGGCCATCGCGAAGATGCGGAAGCGCCGCGGGAGCGGGACGTAGCCCGCGTCGCGGTGGAACGTGGTGTACCCGTACCGGCGGTACGAGAGCGCCGCGCGGACGAGGACGGAGGCGAGGAGGAGCGCGGCGGCGATGAGTGTTGCGAGCTGGAGTGCGAGTCCGGCTGTGGCGAGCTTGGCGCCGGCGGGGGTGGGGGTGTAAGAGGGCGCTTTGGTGTCGGTGAGGATGGCGGAGGGGGCGCTGCTGAAGCCGAGCGCGAGGCCGGCGAGCTGGAGTGTGAGGGCGAGGAGGTCTGCGGGGAGGAGGATTGCGGCGTAGAGACGCGCTGGGAGGATGGAGTGCTCTGTGCCGAGGGTGTGGACCATGGGGCCGAGGGAGACGTAGATGCTGGATGGGGTTTGTTAGCAACCGTTCATAGTCTGAATTATGAGAGAAGAGAGGAACCTACCTTGACGTGAGAAAGACAGGGGCGATGGTGAGCAGTGCTTTGCCTTGCATGAAGGGGTACATCGCCCAGGGATCGCTCCAGCTCGCGAGACGGTCCGCCCAGCCGATGACCTCAAGCGCACATGCCAGTGTGACTAACATGGCGAACGGCACCGTAGCCGAGTGTTTTTGTTGTTGTGTCTGGGAGCCTCGGACTGTGATGGCCGCGTTGGCGATGAGGCAGATTGAGGAGATGGCGATGAAGATAGCGGGGGCCTCTTGGCTGGGCCGGTAGCCGTAGGGAGACGTCGAGACGGAACATGTCGTTAGGGTGCAGGGTTGTGACATATTTGCGAGCTTGCAGTTTGTCGTCTACTGGGATGTTGTTGTGATATGACACAACGAGGAAGCGTGATCAAGATGACAGTGAGATGTCATTCAAAGAGACGGCTCGGTGGTCAGACGAAAGACTGGAGAAGGGTTGCAATCGTGCCGTCTCTATGTTGGATGCCTAGCACTCTTTATACGCTCGCGACATCGAGGCTTGTCGAGGACTGAATGCTGGGAAAATCATCGTGGCCGTGTCTTCCTGACCGTCGCCGACCCGATCCCGCGGTATGTTGGTTGGGTGCTATTGTTAGAAACAGCGGGCATGCAGTAGGCAAGAAGAGACAGCTTCCTGCGGGGGAAAACAAGGGTTTTGTGCAGGGCAGGGGGTCTAAAAAGTAGCCAGGGGGGTGTAGTAAGGTCGGAAAAACTTATAGTCTATATTATATAAACTTATCTACTAACCTCACTATAAAAAGAATAGTATCTATATAGTACTTTATATCTATCTACTTAAGTTAGTTAAACTTTACTTTAAATATATATAATATATATACTAATATCTATAGGAAATAGATAATATATCTAAAACTCTTCTATTTATATAGATTATAAGGTTTAATATATATATATAGAATATAAACTAAATATTATTTAAACTATTACTTATTATTACTTAAATATATCTTAATATTAACTCTATTATAAT